AAGCCACAACAAGAGTATTATATGTCACAACATGTAAAGAAAGTACTAATTAACAAAATATCCCGGAAATGAAATGAACTGAAATGAAATGTCCTACTGTTCTGCTCTGACTTGGCTAATGAAGACGGGCATATGTCATACAGTTAGCTGTGAGGGAAATTGTGCCCGGGCAGCGGCACTATGACCTACTCTTACATCGAATTCCAATTGTCAAGGGATCTTTTACGTGCATGCAAACGACTAGACACCTATCCTTATCAGGCCCTCCGTCCTGCATCACTGAGGAGGGGAAACTGCGCCGGAATATTCTAATGAACTTTCTCGGCCAATGAAATGAAATGAAATGAAATGAAATGGGGTTTAACGTCCTACTGTTTTGCTCTGAACTGGGCTAATGAAGACGGGCATACACCATACAGTGTGCTATGAGGGAAATTTTGCCCGGACAGCGGCACTACGGCCTACTCTTATATCAAATTCCAACTGTCAAGGGATCTTTTACGTGCACGCCAATGTGTACACGGGACCTCGGTTTTTCGTCTCATCCGAATGACTAGACGCCTGTCTTTGTCAGGCCCTCCGTTTTGCATCCCTGACAAGGGGGAACCACGCCGGAAAATCGGGATGAACTTTCTCGGCCAATGCAGGGATCGAACACCCGACCTCCAGACTAGCGAGCCAGCGCCTTACCCACTAAGCCACCATGATCCCATCTCGGCCAATTCAGGGATCGGACACGAGACCTCCAAGCTAGTGAACCAGCGTCTTACCCACTTAGCCACTGTGGCTCCATCTAATGTATACACTTTAGATCATTAATTGATCTGCCATTGGGTCATGTGGCGTGTTTTCGACCCCACACTTGTACGTGTCAAGAAGTTGGGTCGCTTGTCCAATCTCGTGTGTTTTCTCCGGGTCCTCTGGTTGCCTTTCACTTCTAAAAACCACAGAGTTTAAGCCATTCATTGCAATAAAAATGTACTGTACCATATGTTAGTCCCACAAAATGACCCTAGTTTGTGTCGAGTGGTCATCATACTAATATATTTGACTAAAATTACCTAGTTTGTGTCAAAACTGAAGGGGAGTTGGATGGACGAATGGCTAGCACTGGTGTGGTTTCGATTCCCCAGTTGTACATGACAAGGATTAGGGTCGCCTCTCCAACTTCTTGGGTTTTCTCCTGGCCCTCTGGTTTCCTTCCACTGCTAAAGACCCATACGCGCAAGACGATTATTGAAATAAGTTGAACTATATGTTGGTCCCCAAATGACCGGGTTTGTGTCGACTGGATGTTAAAACCCATTTCTGTCTGTCTGTCAAAACTGAACTCTCTCTCTCTCTCTCTCTCTCTCTCTCTCTCTCTCTCTCTCTCTCCAGCCACCATACTAAAATAATGGACCAGTCATTTTAAGAAAACATCAACATCACTTATGTAAGCTGAGAGTGGATGGACACCATGTGTTATTCTCTTGTGTTAGGTTTTTTTTTGACGTGCCACCAAGATGAATAGCTTTTTCATCTTTTGTTCAATCAGTTAAAAGATGTTAATTCCGATGGGAAATTAAAACAACGCCTTCAGCTTCTATGTCATACCATTCGTCAACATTTTTTCTCGGCTATAAAGCACACCTTAGAGAAATTTAATTCCTCTCCCTCAAGACTTTGTACAGCTACAGATCTATGTGAAGCTCGGTTTTTGTCTGATTCGTTTTGTTTCCTTCATTAAAGGCAAATGAAATGAAATGAAATGGGGTTTAAGGTCTTATTTTTCGACTGGGCTAATGGAGAAGAGTATTATACATGGAGTACATCCATGCTTAGCTTACATAAGTGACATTAGAGGTCTTTAACAGTGGCAGGAAACTTGAGTACCTGGAGGGAATCACGTGGCTAAGTGGGTAAGACGCTGGCTCGCTAGCCTGGAGGTCGGGTGTTCGATCCCTGCATTGGCCGAGAAAGTTCATCTCGATTTTCCGGCGTGGTTTCCCCTTGTCAGTGATGCAGAAAGGAGGGCCTGACAAGGACAGCTGCCTAGTCGTTCGGATGGGACGAAAAACCGAGGCCCCGTGTACACATTGGCGTGCACGTAAAAGATCCCTTGGCAGTTGGAATTCGATATAAGAGTAGGCCGTAGCGCCGCTGCCCGGGCAAAATTTCCCTCATAGCACACTGTATGGCGTATGCCCGTCTTCAATTAGCCCAGGTTAGGTGCAGAAGAGTAGGACGTTAAACCCCATTTCATTTCATTTCATTTCATTTTGAGTACCTGGAGAAAACCCACGAAGTTGGGCAGGCGACCCTACTCCTTGTTATCGAAACCATGCCAGTTGACTCAATGACAGACCTTATGATACAATGCGCACAGGCTAACCATTCGGCCATCCAACCCCCAGACAAGAGAAACAATCTGTCAACACAGAGCAACAATGTCGATGAACACATACTGATTTCAAATCAGACGAGCTTGATTGACATTCAACGTGTCCTGTAAATTGTTCAGACGATAGGATGAATATCAATAGTCTCGGTTAATAAAATGAAATGAAATGAAATGGGGTTTAACATCCTACTGTTCTGCTCCTATACTGAGCTAATGACGGAGGTCGATCATAGCTAGGTCACGAGATATTTTGGTTATGACCAGCATATATGGCCAACCCATGCTAGGAACCAAGTGGTATTGCCTCAATTTTAATCGATTTTCATTCATCTTGTTTTTTCAGTGTGCCTTTACTCCGTGATCTGCCTGCTGATAAACTTTCCAAATTAGCAGACGTTTTAGAAATCGTAAGTAATTATTTTATTTGATCATGTATCTTATGATAAGTTGATATTTTATTTTATCATGTATCTTCTGATAAGTTGATATTTTAGTTCATATGAAGCACATGGTAAAGTTGATATGACGTTCACTTAGGAATGTTATATGTACCAAGGAGTAGGTTCGCTTGTCCGACCTTGTGGGTTCGCCTGCCCAACACCCTGGGTTTCCTCCGGGTCCTCTGGTTCCATCCCACTGCTAAAGACCCCTACGCGCAAGCGAATTATTGAAATAAAATTGAACCAAATGTTAGTCCTAAAATGACCTGTGTTTGTGTCAAGTGGATGTTAAACCCCATTTCTCTCTCTCTCTTCAAGATGGCTACGATGACGTCATAGTCTGAACCTAGTCCTTTAACTTTCTTTTATGTTAGTGCTAACAGGCATGTACAGCATTTCCCTTGCAGGAGGAAATATCAGAAAATCTGTGTAAAAAGTTGACAGAATTGACACATAATTAAGGAAGAATTGTTGAGTTTCTGAAACTCCGGAAACAGGAGAATTTATTTTATATCCAGCAGAAAATTGTTGAATAATTGAAACTCTGGAATCAGCAGAATTTATTTCCTATCGAGAAGACATAGTCTGGAGGCTCAGCACGGGGGGGTGTCCATCAAATGGGGACAAAAACAGACCCAACTTTTCTAGAGTAAAATTTTGCGTAGAATACGATGCTGAGTGGTAATCAGTCTGCGTAATCAGGGCGTTTTCGAGATATTCAGGGTCAAAGGTCAAATGAGTTCATTTGCACTGAAAGTGAATGAGCGGTCATTCTTGTATTATGAAAAGAAGCTGAAAATGATCGAAAGTAATCACACTTTCAATAAAAATGTAAACTTGCTAAATTCACCTTTAGTCTTAGTGACCCTGGAGGTCAAAAGGTGAAATTTACCGTTTTTGCACAAGGCAGATTTAAAGCAATAAAATGTCAACATAAAATATAAAAACTAAAGCGAAACCTGTTCTAATTAATAATAGGAACATTTAAAATTTATATTTAGGGGGTCTTAGTACCGAAGTTTTACTTTGGAACATCGAAAATGATCTTGCATAGCTGGTCTACGTGTTTAATAATTTAAATGGTGTGTCCAGATGCAAAATGTCCCTCATAGCAAGAGAGAAGAGAGAAATGGGTTTACCGTCCACTCAACACAAACTAGATCATTTCGGGATTAACACATGATTCAATTTTATTTCATTAATTCGCTTGAGCGTAGGGGTCTTTAGCAGTGGGAGGAAACCGGAGGACCCGGAGAAAACCCGCGAGGTTGGACAGGCGATCCTACTCCTTGCCACATACAAACAGGGAATCAAAACCACGCCAATTGTCTCCATGGCAGACCTTATGATACAGCGCGCACGTGCTAGCCATTCGGCCATCCCCGTATGTTTAACCCTTGTCAGTTCACGTGGGGTCTCCGTGGACCCCATGCACATGTTTTATATTGTTTTGTAATAACTACTGGATACAACTTTCTGAAATTTAGTGACTTTGTCTCCTATACATTTTTACACGTAGCAAAGAGATTGGTATTCATATGCTTTCCACATGCAGAGTTATGTTACATGCAAATCAGGCCCAACGCTTGAAGGGAACAAGGAGTCCAACCGGACCCCTAACTTATAACTCACAGTAGTGATTTTTCTAATGTGTTTTCTGCCTGAAAACCATATTGTGTATGCAAGAGTATTCTCTCTTTTAGCATCTGCATGTTACAAATACCAAAAATTAAATGATGAATTCCAAATATTGAATGGTTTTTGTATCAAGCGTGAATTGCCATTTAACCTCTTTATCACATAGTACACAAAGTAGCAATTTGGTGAGAATTATTAAATCTTTTCCATATGCCACCAAAATGTTTTTGGATAATAATTTAGTTGTTTTTCAAACCAAACGCTTCCTTTTAATTCAAATATATCTGTACGTAAAAACTTGAATTATAACTGGGGTCCATATGGACCCCATGATACCTGTTATGTGATTCTCACAACGAGCACCGACAAGGGTTAATGAACAAATGATATATATACATACTATATATGGAGACCTTGCTGCTGATGTAAAATCGATTTTATAGACATTGATCATTAAAACGTTTGCTGACTGAATATATTCAATTAACAAATTTTACCGAGTACTTTTACATTAAATAAATGTTAAATAAGTGTTGATTGATTTAGCATTAAAGAATTCAATTCATAGCTTCAAATGGGCGTAAAGTCAAAGGAATAAATCATAAAGAAATAATTTGTGGGTTTTAATAGCAATATTGATTACGTATATCTCTCATGGCGTATTAATACGAAAGATTGTATATTATTTAATCAAGTTTGTTATTCTTCGATTGGACAGCCTGTCTCAAGGAGACGCTTTCGTACTTCCGATAATATGTCCAGGGGGATTAACGTTACTAACCTAAAACGCTACCATTTCATATCCGTGATCATTATTAGCCAAGCGAGTCTCCTGGGAAAAAAAATTGAATCAAGTTATCGAGGCTATCGATGAAAACATGACATAAATTTACTCGCTAGAAAATAATCGTACATTGAATTACTCGACAGTTGTGTTCGGAATAAATTTCCGAGACATTTTTGTTTTGACTTGACTGTGTGTCTTTGTTGATGGAGTAATAATTGATCTCAAACAAGTCATGTTTGTTTGTAGATTAACAGAATTGTAAATCAACGAAACTGCTTAAATAACCATCAATCAGGACGAGGTGAATATTCGCTGATCGAACCTTGATGAGAAAATGATCCGTTGAAGGAACAACAAACATAGAAAATAAAATCTAATTATTCCTTTGCTTCTTGTTAACTCACTCTGATATTCTAGTTTATTTATTTAATTAACAATGAGTATGTTTTTCTATTTCAATGAATAAAGAGGTATTGTCACTCTCGCCCAAAAAATAAGGGGGGGTTGGATGGACAAATGGTTAACACGTGTGTGCTGTATCATAAAGTCTGTCATTGAGTCAACTGGTGTTGTTTCGAATCCCCAGTTGAACGTGACAAGGAGTAAGGTTGCCTGTCCAACCTCGTGAGTTTTCTCTGGGTCCTCCCGTTTCCTCCCACTGCTAATTAAAGTCCCCTATGCGCAAGCGAATTATTGAAATAAAATTAAAACCATGTTAGTCCCGAAATGACCTAGTCTGTATCGAGTGGACTTTAAACCCCATTTCTCTCTCTCTCTCTCCAAAAAAATAAATGCAGGGTCACCGGATGAAGCTTGCGTGGGTTAATCATTAAGAGTGATCGAGAAATGAAGAGTTCTGTAATTGTAATAGCAGGAGGACCACACTACACACACACACAAAATTGACAAGACCAAAATACAGACATTACAAAAAGTAAACCTCATCAAGTAATAATTTTTACTCATAATGAAAAAAACCCCCAAAAAACAAGGGATGATTTACAAGAAAGACGTCAAAGAAATAAAGCCTTGTTGTCTATGGAGCGGAATTTCCCCCATAAATCTAATTCCTCACCTAGTAATGCGTATGCTAATATGCGATTTACATTTCCCAATGCGCCACCATACAATTGTAAACAGCGTCGTCTACTACCAAAATGAGCTTTAGAATTATGGCGCCTTTACCGTGAAACATTAAATTGTAAAATGTCAAAATGTTAACGAAGTTAAACTGACAACAAAAATTAAGAGTAATAATGGAAATAGAACAAAATACAAATTCTAACTGCAATTTTTTTTTAAAATAAGTCATGTAAATTAGCATATTTACATTTGTAAATAGCCAATTTAACATGTGTTAGTAAGAAGTTACATGCATAGGAGTAAGCATATTAGCATACACATTACACTAGGGACCGGGTATCATTCAGATTTGATGAAAAAGGGAAAGAAACTGAGTTTACCATCTAGAATCTAATACACAAATCCAATAGATTGCCATCCAGAAAGTATTAAATGCCATCAAGATTCATCAGAAAAACGCCCAGTTTGTGCTACCATGTAGTTTAAGAAACACTGGTTAGTTTTGACAGTATTGCCAATGGATGAAAGAATAATTTATTTATTTGTTTGTTGTAAAATATTGGATTGTATTTTTCAGGATTTTTACCATGAGGGAGAATATATTATCCGTGAGGGCGCTACTGGTGATTCTTTCTTTATCTTAAATAAAGGAGAGGTACGTACAATGTGTTTTTTTCGGGAGATCATATCCCTATCCAGTCTCATCTATCATCTCCATCCAGCCTGAACTTGGGACTTGAAATAGCTTTAATAAAAGACTTTAGAATGGAATTTCATCTAAGACACCATTTTCAGCCAAATTTGACATAAAATATAATTTTACGCTTATTGTGAAATTAAATATCTTTTAATTTCTTCATTAATTTCTAGCTCGCAGTGATTTCCTATTTTTGTAGTATTCCAAACTTAAAAACATATTCACCATTAAAAATATTATATTCAGTGTTTTGTTTTTATTATTCTACAGGTTAAAGTTACTCAGAGAATACAAGGACATAATAACCCACAAGAAATACGCAAACTGAAAAGGGGAGATTATTTTGGTGAAAAGGCTTTATTAAGGTAGGATTTAAAATTGCTCCACCCTGAACCGAGATATTAGCTTTTGAATTTTAGTCTAGCCCTGATTGGTACGATAGAATACATAGTCTCAATTATCCATTTTTTCATTTAATCATCAATGAGCGTTGAGCAGCAGATCGGATTCAAATCCAGTAACTATCGCAGGCTAGCGATGACATCGAGAGTTGTTTATGGTCTGGATAAGTTAATTAATGTCTAATTAATAATTAAGATAACATTTCAGGCCTAAAGAAAGATCTGTAATAGGCAAATTTAGCTCTTGCATAATATATGTTTAATGGGCCGGTCACACAGGCTTCCGCGAGTTGATCACGTGTAATTTTGCTATAAATTTTGCAAATTTTTTCTACACGCGGTGAAAATCAACCAATTTGTCTCAGACATGCTGGACACGCGAATGACAAGTGGACCACACGCGCGCGTGTGCATCGCGTGTCCACCACGAGTCCTCCGTGTGTGAGCGCTTGTGGTCAGAAAATGGGGTCACACGCAGCGCGTGTGTATCACTTGTGCTCCACATGTGCTCCGCGTGTGAATCACGTGCCGATCACTTGTGCTCCGCTTGCCGCCCGCGTGTATAAAAGCCGCCGCGTCCGGTGTTCTGGATCAGTATCGATCAATATTCCGTAGAGTAAAGATCAAAATCATGGCACCGAAATCAACGTCTTGATCACAACTGATGAAAAATGGCCCACACGCGATCTTTTTATAGCAGAAATAACTAGTGGTACAAACGAGATTGGGTCGTGGACGACACGCGAATCAGTCGTGGTTCAATCGCGATTCAACGCGAAAACACGCGAATGGCCCGCGGATGACTCGTGACACAATCCCTGAGGAAGCCTTTTACACGTGGAGCACACGCTATCACAGGTGGTAGGAACGCTGTAGACACGCGGATCACAAGTGGATGACAAGTGCTACACACGCAGTCACACGAAGAAATTTTGCGTTTGCCCGCGAGTGACCACTTGTCGTCCACTTGTGATCCGCGAGTGTACCACGTGTTATCGCGTTTGGCCCGCGTTTGTACAGCGTTTACACCACGTGTGCGACACGCGGTGGCCGTTGCGCCTAATTTTTGTGCTGCTCAAAAATAAAATCGGACTCCGTGCGCGTGTAAAATTTTTCGCGCGTGTGCGCACTTGTTATTCGCGAGTCCACCACGTTTCATTCACGTGTCATTCACTTGTGACCGCGCTTACTTCGCGTTTGACAGTTCTTCCTCGCGATACACTCGTGATCAACTCGCGGAAGCCTGTGTGACCGGCCCTTAAATTGAAAATAATGTCTAAGTTTTGATGGAATAGAGAATAAGGTGAAGATGAGGTCAAAGGTTGTGCAAAATGAATAGATCTAACTACTGGATCGCAAAATGATGGCAGAGTTGACAAAATGCTTTAACAATCCTATAGTTGGGTGGGTGGTTCACAGTGACTCAGCGAGTAAGATGCTGGCTCGCTAGCCAGTACCAACCTCATGGGTTTTCTCAAGGTCTTCAGGTTTCCTCCCCTACAAGCATGCAAATTATTGAAATAAAATTGAACCATGTGTTAGTCCCGAAATGACCTAGTTTGTGTCAAGTGGACCTTAAACCCCATTTCTCTCGTTTGTTTAAATAAAATTGAATCATGTGTTAGTCCCAAAATGACCCAGTCTCTCTCTCTTTAGTGTGGACTATAAACAGTTTTTAATCTTCATATTAACGAAATTGTAAAATATTGTTTATATTTTTAGCGAAGATCGTAGAACAGCAAATGTGATTGCACTGCCACCTGGTGTTGAATGTTTAACGGTAGATCGAGAGTAAGTAATTATTTGTGTGTCATATTTCTATGTTGATACCTGCGAGGTAGAAGCGTAAAACACTATATCCCATTTCATTTCCTTTCAATGGCCAACAGTTTAAATCTATGATACGGAGAATATCATATTTCCATATTCATTCGATCGGTTTGTAATTAAAAGTAGAAAGCTATAGAATATTTCCAATGGCCACCAACCTCAGGGGTTTTCTCCGGGTTCTCCGGTTTCCTCCCACTGCTAAAGACCCCTACGTGCAAGCGAATCATTAAAGTAAAATTGAACCATAGAATATTTCCAATGGCCACTAGAGCCAGGGGTTGTGTGGCCGAATGGTAAGTATGTGTGGGTTGTATCATTAGGTCTGTCATTGGGTCAACTGGTGTGGTTTCAATTCACCGTGACAAGGAGTAGGGTGGCCTGTCCAACCTCATGGGTTTTCTCCGGGTCCTCCAATTTCTTCCCAGTGCTAAAGACCCCTACATGCAAGTGAATTATTGAAATAAAATTGAACCATATGTTAGTCCCAAAATGACCTAGTTTGTGTCAAGTGGCTGTTAAACCCATTTTTTTTCTCTCTCTCTCTCTTTCTCTCTCTCTCTCTATTGGTGCTGAAAAGTAGGAACCTACAGTCTATGTTAGTCCCAAAATGACCTAGTTTGTGTTGAGTGGACATTAAACCCCATTTCTCTCTCTGCCTCTCTGTCTCTCTCTCTCTGGGATGGTGCTGAGAAGTAGGAAACTAGGCCACTAGCAATAATTTAAGCTTGTGAATAATTTATAAGAATAACAAGATATAGAATGACATATTGAGAATATTTCATTAGTTAAGGGATGGTTTAATTGAATAAAGTCAGAAGTTTAATATTACACATCATTTACTCGATTAATTGATGAACTCAATCAGAGGGAGTTAGAAGTAAGGGAGAAAACAAACATTCATAATCTATCAAATTATCTCGTTCTCGTTTGAAGAACATTTAATTTCTTTGTTGTCTAAAAATGGTTTAATTTTAAAACATTTCAAGAAGATGTTTATCGTCATAGAAATATATCTCCGATATTTTTAGAACAGCCATGAAATGTAGATTAGCACGATATAAGTATTTATTGATGACCTCAATTCATTCATGTATCAATTTGTACGCAAATCTAAAACTGAGAAAGGATTGGGTGATAAATAAAATCTCCTATGAGTCTTTTTTGATATCAAAAAATATCAACACAAGTCCATAAAGTAAAAAAATGGGTGTTGGTATTTTTTTCATATAAAAAAAAATACTTGCAGGAGATTTTATTTATCTTTTTTTTTCCTTTATCAACTTGTGTTGATATTTTTTGATTTAAAAAAATAATTGTAGGAGTTATTATTTATTTTTTTTTTTTTTTCTTTATCAACTTGTGTTCATATTTTTTGATATAAAAAAATACTCACAAGAGATATTATTTATGGTTTTTTTTACTTTATCAATTGTTTTGATAGGAGACTTGTAAGAGATTTTATTTATCATTTTTTTTACTTTATCGACTCGTAGGAGATTCTCTATCTATGTTTATTTTATGTTTTACAGTTCATTCAATCAGTTAATTGGTGATTTAAATGTTTATTTTATGTTTTACGGTTCATTCAATCAGTTAATTGGTGATTTAAATGTTTATTTTATGTTTTACAGTTCATTCAATCAGTTAATTGGTGATTTAAATGAATTAAGAAATAAAGATTATGGTGATGCAGCCCGCGGTGCGTCCCGGTAAGTATCTATCTCCTACTAACTGTAGAATAACCCCTCCAGTTCCCTGTCTAGTCCTACGGATGGGAGTCAAAAAAAAAAGTTCAGTCTTCATATTGGTCTTGGTTAGATCTATTTGATAAGATCATCTTCAACTTTGGTCAAAGGTTCACTCCCACAGCTAAAGACCTCTACGTTCAAGTGAATTATTATACTAAAAATTAGCCATATGCTAGACCCGAATTGACTTAATAGTATGCGTCCCCCCCCCCTCTCTCTCTCTCTCTCGTATTTTATATAACAGTAGACAAGTGAATGTTTAAATGATTAAAACATTTGTTGGTTTATAACCGTTTATTTCACGTGTAATATGATATTCACCAGGAAACAGCAAGATAAATCAATATAAAGTAATAATTAATCTATCTATGTCTCTCAATTATAAATTAATAATATTCTATATAAATATTACAGTTACGACTTGACAATATAATAGATGAACACCAATGGGGTGTATTAATATTAGATATTTAAAGGGCTTTATGGGAGATTAGATAAAGAGTTGACAGTTCTCGCTATAATCGTTAAATTATGGATAAGATAAAGAGAATATGCCGAAACTTTCAGTCAAATTAATCCACTCTGAACAGAGATTTTAGCGATTAAATTTTAGGCCTAGCCTCGATCATCATTACTAAAGTCGGTACGATCATCAATCACAAAATGTATTCAAATCCAGTAAATATCGCAGGCTAGCATTGATATTAAGCGTTGCTTATGGTCTGGATAAGTTAATTAATGTCTAAAAAATAATTTAGATAACATTTCAGGCTTAAAGAAATACCTACAATAAGCAGATTTACTTCTTTTTTTTTTTCTTTTTTTTTTTAAGACATATTTTATTCACTATAAATGAATGGGAAATTGGGGAACAGGCAAAATGCCTATGTCAGACCCCTAGCCCTCTTGAATAATGTATGTTTAAATGGATGGTCTCACATAATTAGATATTAAAGAGATGGTATCACATTAGACATGAAAAGGGTACCCTCGCATAATTAGACCTGAAAGGGGTGGTCCCACATAAATAGATATTAAAGGGATGTTCTCAAATTAGATATTAAAAGGTTGTTTTCACATTAGGTATTAAAGTGGTGGTCTCACATAATTAGACCTGAAAGGGGTGGTCCCACATAAATAGATATTAAAGGGATGCTCTCAAATTAGATATTAAAAGTTTGTTTTCACATTAGGTATTAAAGTGGTGGTCTCACATAATTAGATATTTAAGGGGTGGTCTTACATAATTAGATATGAAAGGGGTGGTCTCATATTAGATATTAAAAGGGTGCTTTCACATTAGGTATTAAAGTGATGGTGATCTCACATAATTAGATATGAAAGGGGTGGTCTCATATTAGATATTAAATTGAACAATTTTTTAACTGACATTTGATTAAATTTTGGTTTGTTTTAGCTGCAGTATGGTCAGCAGTCCTCGTGATCTAGTTCCAAAAACTAAAAAAAAAATTGGAATAACAGAACGAAAATAGTAATGAATTGTTAATTTTATCCAATACGTTTCTTAATCTCGATAACCCCTGAAATAACTGTCTAAAATAACCTGTTGAAATAACCAACCATCAAATAATCCCCCGTAAAATAACCAGATAATCCTATCATGGTAGAATACACTGTAACTCAGGTATGGTGTAATCTTGTGTATTTTGCTATCATTTCTTTCACGTTTTTTCAATATCAAATCTTATTTTGAAATTTCATAAAAATAGTCTAAAATTGCCCCAAATCATCGGAGGGTTGGGTGGCCGATGGTTTACACATGGGTGTTGGATCATAAGGTCTGTCATTGAGTCAAGTGGCGTGGTTTCGATTCCCCTCTTGTATGTGACAAGAAGTAGGCTCGCCTGTCCAACCTAGTGGGTTTTCTCTGGGTCCTCCAGTTTCCTCCCACTACTAAATACCCACTATGCGCAAGCAAATTATTGGATCAAAATTGAACCATATATGTTAGTTCCGAAATAACCTAGTTTGTGTCGAGTGGATGTTAAACCAAGCGTTTAATTTACCGATTAATGTTTGAAAAAAACCTGACCCAATTGATTATTGATGTATGCAGGGGAAATTAAACGCTGGTAAATATTGAATGAAGATTTGATATTGAATGAATGCGAAAGAAATTAGGGTAAATACGCAAGATAAAATGAGACCCAGGTTACAGTGTTAGGCCCTTAAAGGTCACCAGAAAAACGTCATAATATTTTTAAATAATGCAAGTAATTATGTCGACATATCCTTTCCATAAGTATCACATACCTCGTGGGTTTTCTCCGGGTCCTCCGGTTTCCTCCCACTGGTAAAGACCCCTACGCGCAAGCGAATTATTGAAATAAAATTAAACCATATGTTAGTCCCGAAATGACCTAGTTTGTGTCGATTGGACGTTAAACCTCATTTCTCTCTCTCTCTCTCTCCCTCTCTCCAGAAGTATACACGATCCTGAATGTCAATGTTACCTGCCACAGGTAAATTTCAACGTTAGGAATTTCCACCGTTCTCAGGGAGAAGTCGTAACTTTCTGCCAAAGTTGGCAGCTAACATTGACATTCGGGATCATGTTGTACTTAAGGAAAGGATATGTTGACATAATAATTACTTGTGTTATTTAAAATATTTATGAAGCTTTTCCGGTGACCTTAAATAATATACAATATCAAGATATTTTTGTAGTTTTTCTAGGCTAATTATGGTTATTTTCATTTTATAATTTTATAATAATTACCATTCCCGAAGAAACCACTAGGAAATATTACTACTAGTAAATAGATGATGCTAAATTGATTTTTTATTTTATTTTATTAATACAATATACTTTCTTATCCATAATATATTTATTGTTCATTTTTTTTTTATTAAAGATACATTATTGGATATTAGATAAAGAGCTGGTAGTTCTCACTATAATAGTTAAAAACTAGATAATGTAAAGGGAATATGCTGAAACTTTCAGTCTGAACCGAGATATTAATTAAAGATACATTATGGGAGATTAGATAAAGAGCTGGTAGTTCTCACTATAATAGTTAAAAACTAGATAATGTAAAGGGAATATGCTGAAACTTTCAGTCTGAACCGAGATATTAATTAAAGATACATTATGGGAGATTAGATAAAGAGCTGGTAGTTCTCATTATAATAGTTAAAAACTAGATAATGTAAAGGGAATTTGCTGAAAATTTCAGTCATATTGATCCACCCTGAACCGAGTACTTAGCGATTGAATTTTGGGCCTAGTCTCGATCATCATTATTAAAGTCGGTACGATAAAAAAACATAGTCTCGATTATCCATTTTTTGATTTAATCAGAAGCAGCAGAACGGGTTCTAATCCAGTAAATATCACAGGCTAACGATGCCATCGAGAGTAGATTATGGTCTGGATAAGTTAATTAATGTAATATTTAGGTAACATTTCAGGCCTAAAGAAAGACCTGTATTAGGTAGATTTAGCTCTTGCATAATGTATGTTTATTGTTTAATGTAGTATCTTAAATGGGTATATTTATCCAGCTTTACAACTATATATTTCATCTTCCAGGTTTTAAAGTTAATGTTATTGATTCAAAATATGATACTTTTCATTTTATTATAAGTATTTATCCAGCTTTACAATTATTTAAACTTCCGGGTTAACAAACTGATTGTTATTGATTAAAAATATGATATTTTTCCTTTTTATTTATTTATATACTATATAGATAATTATTCGTCTTTGAAAATTCATCTTCCGTGTTTTTGAGATTATTCTATAAATAAATCCATTAGATAGATACAATTTCTTGGGCTTATATAATATAGTATGAAGTTAATATCCTTAAATGACATTTAGAAACAGAGGTATAATATTCATAATAACACATCTTTATGGATTTACTACTTCTTGGTTTATTTACATACAACGTTTCAATACTCTTACAGGTATCTTTATTATTGTCCCCCGCCTTTCGAAGAAAGCAGGGGGCTATTAAAATGGGTTCGTTCGTCTGTCCGTCCGTCTGTCTGTCTGTCTGTCCGTCACACTTTTTGGGACACGATAACTCTCTTGCTAATTGAGGTAGAATGTTCAAACGTGGTGTAGGTGTTTATTAGGTCAATACCTTGATGGAGTTCGAGATGAGGATTTTTTGCTTAGGGTAAACAGAGATAAACAATTTGATTGGTTGATGCTTTGGGACATGATAACTTTAGTTCTAATTAAGTGAGAGTGATGAAACTTGGTGTATAGTTTCATTACATCAATACCTTGACTAAGTTCGATAATGAGCATTTTCTGCTCCTGATAAGCAGAGCGATAAGCAATTTGATTGGCCAAGATTTTAGAACACAATAACTCTCCTTCGAATTGAGCTAGAATGTTCAAACTTGGTGTAGTTGTTTATTGGGTCAATGCCTTGATGGAGTTCGAAGATGAGCATTTTCTGCTTAATAGGGTAAGACGTAGTAAAATCCATAAAGTTGTGTTATTATGAATACATGAAGGTAATCTGAATAATGGAATTGGGAATAAAATAATGCCTTAATTCTATGTCTATAAATTAACAGAGTATAATATTCTAATAAAACCACGAAGATAAATCATTTCTCTACGAAAACCACAAATTTTTAATTTTTTTAAATATTTAATTTTTTTTTTTTTTCAGTGCTGTTAATTCATCAGATACAAGGTAAGGTGTAAAGTACTTCTTCAGATTTTAGAATTTTAAATATTTTTGTTTATTGAAGGGAAGATACACCTCTTTCTTACCCCACCTGTCTCCAGATATTCTGGTGCTGTTACCAACCTCGTGGGTTTTCTCCGGGTCCTCCGGTTTCTCCCACTGCTAAAGACCCATACAAGCAAGCGAATTATTGAAATTAAATTGAGCCATATGTTAGTCCTGAAATGACCTAGTTATTCAGATATACCAGTGTCGTTATCTTTCAATCTGGTTAAAACACAGATTCTATTTCGTTTCGTTTTTTTATAGTTCAAAATTTTGTTTTACTTGTCTTTACTACACTAGGATCTGGAAGAGTTGTTATATAACTCGCATTCTGATTGATGTGAGGGATTAGTCAATGAAACGGTCTGTTGCGGCGAGTTTTTGGCGTGAGCTGCACACAATTGTGGGTAACCCACTAGAAACATCAACGCTAATTGATTAATCAAATGTCTGTTGTCATAGGGTTCAAATTCCGCTCGTAGGACCCTTGACGAGACCTTCCACTACAACTGGTCAGATCTTCATGTAGTGGAGGCCATCGAAAGTATAAATAAACGAAACGAAATATAAATCTGTATTTTAATCAGATTGCGTTAACTTTAGTCAAGATTCAGTCAGGACATGTGGCAGTGAAGGATGACTGGGTTCCGTTCTGGTGTTGACCGAGAAAGTGGGCCAAATTGGTACAGTACTCAGTATGGCACGCTTATGTTTGGCCCGTTTACACTACCAAAACATTAACCAGGATGTGCCTGGTAGCATGAATACCCAGCTAAATTAGGCTGGTTGGTGCAAAAAGTAGTAGGCTGACCCCCCCCCCCCCACCCCTTCACATATTAAAAATTAATGTGTTAGTCTAAAAATAACCATGGTAACCAATTATTTTTAATTTCAGTTTATCGAATAGTACAAGTGGTGAGTTGACTCCGACATCCAGGGATAAAGATAAGATATCAGAAGAGTTTGTACAAATAAAACTGGACGATCTAGATGTCGTGGCTACTCTTGGTATGGGTGGATTTGGTCGTGTTGAACTGGTAAGTCAATATTGTTTGTTTGTTAAGAGATTTTACGCCCTCTTCCATCCAGGTGATATCGCAGACAACAGTAAGTTGACGTTTGGCAATTAATTATCACCCAGCACATTCTACAGTAGATATCGCTTGTGTGATAAATTTCATAATCTACTGCGATATAGGAGATATCGCTTTACATGAATTTAATTGGTCAGTTGAAAAGGGACTACTTTTTTTTATTTTCAAAGAACAGTTCATTTTTATTTAAAAGGAACTTCTTTCTTATTAAAAAGGAACCATTTTTTTTTAAATGGCCTTGATGGAAATAAAGGACTTTGCAATGGTTGAATTGCTGTCAAAAAATGATGTATCACTACGCTGTAATGTAATCAGGTTCAGTAAAAGTGTAATCTATAGCAAAGAATTACATTTATTTATTTGTGCATGTAAGAAAGTATTAGGTGATGAATAAAATCCCCAACGAGTCTTTTTTGATATTAAAAAATATCAACACTCGTCGATAAAGTAAAAAATATGAGTGTCTGAAAAGACTCGTAGGAGATTCTTTATGTATAGACCTCTAAAGGAACGGTAATAGATTATCAGGTCACCCAAAGAAAAAATTGATCCAAAATCTTAAACAAGTTACGTGTCCGGATAAGCGGTTTTGAGATTCACATCCAAATGACTGAATATTTTAAGCTAAAATTTTGAGAAAAGGTAGATACACCATTCCTGGGCTTTTAAATTTTATAA